GTTCTTAAATTCCATACATTTTTAAGATCCAGTGAAAACACTTTTTTGTGAAATCTTAGTTTAGATAAATAACTGAGGAGTCTTTGCTCTAAGTATGGATATATCAAAGTTTTAGTGAGCAAGAGTTCAACTGCCCCTGTGCTTTAACTCTGTTGGAAAACAGCTCTGAGTGACAGCTACTTAATTTTTTTTCTTCTTTTGAGCATTGGGAGAAAAAAGTTCCCAAATCTATAAGTAACTATATATTTAATATAGACGGGGTTTTTTAATTCTGTCTAGCTGAAAAGGCGGTTTGTTTTCCAAATCCTCAATTTGTTCTGTTTGAGAGTTAGAGACCTAAATGGTGCTTTTAACCATGTTGCAGGGGTTTAGGTTGTAGCCGTGTTGGTCTAAGGATATAGGCAGACAAGGTTCCTTGAGTGAATTTGATATCTTTTATTAGACCAACCCAAATGGTTGGAGAATAGTTATTAAGCAAGCTTTCGGGTTCAAAAACCCTTCGTCAGGCTCAGGAAGCTGCAGCAGTCGGTGTGTGCTCCTCCTGGATGGAATGAACAGTAAAGAAGCCAGGGGCTGGGCTGGGCTGGGCGGGGGAGTCAGTTGCCAGGCAGATTATAATGAATCAAAAATCCAATATCTATGTTTAGTCCCTGATCTCTAGTATCCAGCAGGTTGATGAAATGGAGCTCATAGGCTTGTCTCTGGGATGTGTTGTGTAAATTTCCCTTGAGGATCAGGACTGAGAGATTGGAGAGAGAGTGGCCCTCCTGTGAGAAATGTGCCCCCACCGGTAATTGGGTGTTTCTGTCTTTGATGGATTTCCGGTGTGCGTTCATTCTGGTGCGCAGTTGTTGTCTGGTCTCTCCTACGTGTTTTCCATCAGGGCATTTGGTGCATTGGATGAGGTATACTACATTCCTGGAGGTGCAGCTGTAAGATCCTGGGATGCTGATGGCTCTGTTGTGGGGTGTAGTAATAGTGGGGGTGGTGGAGATGTGGGGACAGGTTTTGCATTTCTTGTCATGGCATGGTCTGGATCCTTTTGGTGTGTTCTGGGGTTGAGGAAGTTTGCTTCTGGTGATGAGGTTGGCGAGGTTCGGTGCTTGTCTGAAGGCTAGGATGGGTGGCTCTGGGAAGATCTTTTTAAGAATAGGGTCTTTTTCTAATATGGGTTGCAATTTTTTGAGGATTTTCCATACAGGTTCAAGGGAGGAGTGATACGTCATAACCAGCGGTGTGCGATTTGTGGGTGTTTTTCTTCTGTACTGCAGCAGTTCTTCACGTGGTATCCAGGTGGCTCTTTCAAA